TAGATGAGAAGGGATACCTATTGATGAGATAAACATATGTGGAGAAAGCATTGTCCAAATAGGTAAGAGGGGGTGAAGCGTGGCTGAGCAAAGTAAGTCTCATGTTTACTATATGCATATGTTTGCGCTCTACCACACCATTTTGATAATGTGTGTATGGGCAAATAACGTTATGAATGATACCATGAGTTTTGAGATATTGAGAGAAGAGTTTGAACTCACCCCCCAATCAGACTGAATAGCTTTAATTGGGCATCCAAGTTGGAGTTCCACTAAGCTTTTGAATTATTGAAAGGTAGAAAGAGCTTCAACCTTAGTTTTGTGAAAGTAAATCCATAGATGAAAGTTCTTTTCATCGAGCTTTTGCGAAATCTTGAGTGTGAGCTAAAAACGATGACAATCCACCGTTGAAGAGGTAGGCGACGCCTCCGGTGTGGGTGTCATAGCAACAAGAAGGTTTTAGATCGAACCAGAGCTAATATGATACTATATTAGAAATGGATGATAGAGAGGTTTTTCATATTCTAACTAACCATTGTATTTCTGTTATTGTGTTATTACAAAATAGTAACAACAATTATGCTTTTATACATCAGATAAGAATGACATGCACTAGCAGGTTCTAAACAAACCTAATGACCTGCAGTAGCAGCTTTTGAATAATGCTCAAACTGACGCATGTCAGTCTTTGAGCCTATACTTACTTTATACTCTAATACTTCCTTCCTCGACAGTATGATCTCCCCCATCTTTCTTGTCCAGATAAATACATGGTTAGGATGTAAGTTTAGAAAATACATATCATCTTTCTGTGGAGTATAAACATCCTCTAGTGGGTAATATGGAGGAATTTCGACTAAGTTCCAGTCGAAGTGCTTCTTGCTAGCCTTGTTGATTTCAGCCATATAATAGTCTTGGTCAGCTTCGATATTCTCCATTATGCCCTCAGAGTGCCAAATGACAATCCTTTGGTGCAAAGCTAAGGGAACTGCATAGATCACTTGTATTCATTCACGTCTAAGCAACAAATTATAGTTTGCATTGGATACAATTACCATAAACAATATTGGCCTGGTTATGGAGCCAATTGATAATTTGACCTGTATCGTTCCAAGAAAATTTGAAAGTAGATTAAAAAATTAATAATTAGTTTTAAAACTTAAAATTAAAAAATAAAATTAATATTAAAATTTCAATTGGTGGGACTTGCATGTGCCAAATTGACCGGAGTTTTGATATTAGTGAGACTAAAGACTGCAAATTTTCCTGTGAGATAAACTCTCAAAACCGCTTCAAACAAAGTGGCCAAGTATGAGAAAATGTGTTTAGACAATCTACATGCTTTCATACCATTTGCCTTTTGACACCTTTAATTTTCTGGCACCAAAATCAGTAGATCTTTTATAGAGTGTAAAGGTTCATGCATAACAATATTGTGTTACCTACAACAATGAATGAATATATATATATATATATATATATATATATATATATATATATATATATATATATATATATATATATATATATATATATATATATATATATATATATATATATATATATATATATATATATATATATATATATATATATATATATATATATATATATAAAAACAAACAACAACCATCAGATCATGATTAAACTTATTCATTAATGTGACTATTAATTTCTCTCTCTTATTAATTTACATTCTATCTCTCTTATTAATTTGATCTAATGGTTGTTGTTTGTTCCTTTCATCTCTCATTTAAAATCACTCTCATTTGATATGCTCCCATAAGGAGTATATCAATTGAGAGTGATTTTAAATGAGAGATGAGAGGAACAAACAATATGTATAAAGTAAACTTTGTCCAAGCGACGAACTCTTGTTTTTTATTCTCCCAACTATTAATAGTATTGCACAACACATTTTTATTCCATATATATATATATATATATATATATATATATATATATATATATATATATATATATATATATATATATATATATATATATATATATATGAAATAAAAATGTTTTGTGCAATACTATCAACATTTAGGAGAATAAAAAACAAGAGCGACGAACTCTTGTTTTTTATTCTCCCAATTGTTGATAGTATTGCACGGTATATGGAATAAAAATATGTTGTGCAATACTATCAACAGTTGGGAGAATAAAAAACTAAGAGTTCGTCGCTTGGACAAGATTTACTTTACACATACTTGCATACTGTGGTTAACTTTAAAACATACAAACGTTTTTTCTTGTTACAACCTTGACTAGTTGGAAGTAGGGTGGTTTATTGTACAATAAGTTAAAAAAATTTAACCATAATAAAAGATCATCCGAACCGAAGTAGGGAGTATTGAGAGCATCAATCCAATGTAGATTATAGCTTATATGAAAAGGAATGGCAAAGATGGGTGGATTTCTCTTGGTGGAATCTTTCTGTGCGTTACAGGTAAATAGTGGGATCGATTGTTTTGCCTGTAGCTTCTCTATGTTCTTTATATTCATACCTTTTCTTCTATAACACTTTTTGTGAACTAGGGACTGAGGCCATGTTTGCAGACTTGGGTCACTTCAATGTGCAGGCAATTCAAGTAAGCAAATAAATGCAATGTGTAGATCCAATATTTTGGCCAACATTTGTTGTGGCTGTCTCTGCTGCTATCATTGCAAGTCTGGCTATGATTTCAAGAACATATTCAATAATCCAACAGTCACGGAGTTTAGGATGCTTCCCTAGTGTTAAGATGGTACATACCTCTGCAATGTATGAAGGTCAAGTGTACATACCTGAGATCAACTACTTTCTTATGATCTCTTGTGTCATAGTCTGTGCTGCCTTTAGAACCACAGATAATATTGGTCATGCTTATGGTATGCAACTATGCATATAAGAATTCAACTTCTCTACAAATACTATAAAGTCAAACTACTATTTTCTATTTCTCAAGAATATTTAGAACTAAAAACATGAGTGCTAAATGTCAATTAGCTTACCATTATTACAGGAATTGCTGTATGCCGAGTAATGCTGGTTACAACATGCATGGTCGCTCTAATAATGCTTGTTATATGGAAGACAAGCATATTCTGGATATCTCTTTTCTATGTGATATTTGGTTTGATAGAGATTGTGTATTTATCATCCATGTTAACTAAATTCATTCAAGGAGGCTTTCTTCCTTTGGCCCTTTCTTTGTTTTTAATGACCATTATGGGGATTTGGCACTACACAAAAAAAAAGGTACTTATTTGAGCTCAAGAACAAGGTTTCTGGTGAAATAGGTGAATATGCAAGAGAAATAGTAAGCAAAAGGGTTGTATCTAAAATTCAGGAGTATCATTCATACTCAGTAGTTGAAGGAGTTCCACCAATTTTGCTCATGTTATTTCCAACCTATCCCACATTCATTCTGTAGTAGTATTTGTTTCCATGAAATCCATCCCTATTAGCAAAGTTGGCTTAGATGAGAGATTCCTTTTCAGACATATTCAACCAAAAGTGTATAGAATTTTCTGCTGTGTTGGGAGGTATGGCTATAACGATGTGATTGGAGAACCAAACGAGTTTGAGCAACAATTAGTATAACTATAAGAAATTTATTCGCGACCAAAATGTTATTTCTTTGATTGAGGGAGTGGGAGGAATTGATGCTGACCAAACAAATAATAACTTGTTTGTAACGAGCCAACAACAATCAAACAGTGATGATGTTGTAAAGGACGGAAAAGGTTATTTTCCAAGAGAATAGCACCAACAGCAACTTCTTCATATCAAGCGGTGTCTGTGTCCGGTGCTTCATCAGATTCTATTCATTCATTTGGAATGACTAGTAGAATCCCGAATCAAAATCTGCAGGGAGTGGAAGAGGAGATATCCTTTGTGCAGAGGGCAATGGAGAAAAGTGTGGTGTATATGCTGGGAGAAGCAGATGTAGTAGCAGAGGCCAACTCATCTAAACTTAAGAAGATAGTTGTCAATCATATTTACAATTTCTAGAGGAGAAATTTCAGACAAAGAGAAAATTTAATGCAAATCCCACGTTCTAGGCTTCTCAAGATTGGAATGATATATGAAATATGATGACACATTACGTGAGATGCTCAACTCAATAGAGAATATTTCTAGTAATTACTTTCATGGGAGTTATTTGAGATTCTATAAGAGTTGTATGGCTAGGGTAGGGCATAGTTGGACCTGAACCAGAGATAGGCTCAATAATACTATGATATAAGGTTTGTAAAATCAAATCTAGATAAATCTATGAAAAGACACTTCACCTTCCCTTTTTGGTAAAAATGGGCATATCATAAAGCTTGGCTACAAACCACCTACATTATAATAGGCAGTGAAAATTGAAGACTATTAAGGTGTTTAGATGGAGGATTTTGGAGGTGAAGAGAGGACATATTTTCTTTTTTAAATTAAGGAAACTACACAAAAATTTAAAAAGGAATTAAGCATGATTAAAATGTTATAGGATTTATCATGTTATTCTTTTAATTGTTTAAAAAACCTCAAATATATAGCAAAATATAGAATTAGCCTTTGAATTCACAAAACATCATCCTACAATTAAAAGCAAAAGAAATGCAAAACAATCTTCCACAAGAGCTACAAGTTCTCTAACTATTAGACTTGTAAAACTTTCAAGAATAATAATCAACCAATATAATAGGATCTCATAAACCAAACAAAAAAAATAAATGTTGTAAGTAATAGATGGGATTTCTTTTCTTATCCTATCCATACAAAAAAAAGGATATAATAGCCTTTTTAAGTAAAACAGGACCCCAATTTTTGTTTCATCACACAAAACAGTTACAAATTCAACTGATAGATAAGCAAAAGACTAAAATGCCACTCCAACAAAGAGGAGGCATAAATCACAAATCATGAGATATTATGACCATTCCACAAACTAGAAATTTCAATAAAAGTAACAAAGCATTAAGGGGCTCACCCCGGTACAAAGGTCACCCCTCTTGAAGATCATTCAGTTGGCACGGCTTTTGAACACATCAAGACCGATCTCAGTAGGATCAGTTGCCTGCAACTCAATCTGAATACCATCAAGCTCTCTCTTGAATCTATCTTTGGAGCTTGCATAAATCATCTTGCTTCTAACCCTTGCTGTGTCAGGAGACCTTCAAAAGAAACCAACACGTTTAGATAATAATCAACACCAAAGCTACAACATTAACACGAAGAACCTAAACAGAACATCACCATGCAATGAAGAAAATCCTGCTTTTGGGGACATTGCCTTCAGTGATAAACTCAAAATCATAAACAGCATAGCGAGACTCATCAGCAGGAAGGCAAGCAGCGAAATCTTCATAGCCTTGAGAGGGCTCACCAAGCTTCTCCACAATGACTTGCTTCTGAGCCTCCTCAATCTTGTAAATTATGAACCTGTGTGTCCTTTTAGCCTTGAGCTCCATAAACCTCAACTTGCAGTCATCATGGACCGCCATACCTGATGCCGCATTTGCCTGAAAAAATCATACACATAACAAACATCAAAAATAGCTTAATCGAAAGCGGACAACATTTAGTAACACTTAACAAAACTAAAGACATAAAAAAGAGCTTATTTCAGCTTATTTCTCTTCAAATAGCTTATAAATAAGCATTTAATTAAACTCAACAGAACAGCTTTCTTAAATTGTTAAATCAAACAAACCCTAAAACTTATATTTAGCTTTTTAAGAATTAAAAAAAAACGAAAACACCTTTTTCCACATCATAATATTTAGGTAATAAAAATTCAAATCACACATAAAACAGTCCAGAATCATACAATTTGAGCAATCATAAACTAAATATTAACTTCCACATCCTGAAAATAGATGAAAATCATGATTTACACTAATTAATTAATAAAAAATAAAATAAAATAATATTTGGTTAAAATAATTGCTTCATCTTCATCACATAACGCATCAATTTCTCAGAAGATAAGATCAAAGAAAATCACGAGAAACTAGAAAGTAAAGTGAAATTGAAATCAAAATCAGATCTACGAGTATAAGTATTGAAAGACGAAAAATAGAAAAAGAAAGAGAAAGAGAAGACACTGACCATGGTTGAAAGAGACGAGCGATCGATGGAAGCGGAGGAGGAAATATAGGAAGAATCTTCGGATCAAAGAACTCAGAACTGAAATGGTGCTTTGGGTTGCGTTGAGTTGAGTCAATCAAATAGATGAAGAAAAAGCGAAAGATTTTTTGGAAATTAATTAAAATATTCCTTAATATTAAAATTAAAATTAAAATAGTCAATTCAATACTTGTATTTTTGAATTTAGGACCACTTTATTTTGGGTACAAAAGAGAGTATTCAATGGTCAATATAATAAGTGGGTCTTTTTTGTTGTTGTTAATTTTGATGAATAAATTTAAAAATTATTTTCTTGAACTAAATTTTTATTGGATTAGTTTACATACACCGGCCACTATGTAATTTTTTTTACTTTTTATATTTTAGCTTAAACAGATATGTTTACAAATATGTAATTTTTTTTACTTTTTATATTTTAGCTTAAACAGATATGTTTACAAATATTTTATACAGAAGAAAAAAAAATGTCAATGTAGTCCCAATTGATGAAATAAATAAATAAATAAACATTTAAATTAAATACATCAATTTCTTTAATGTACTCTAAGAAAAGAGAAAATGAGTGATATAAATGACACGGTAGATTATCTTTTTACTATCAATTAATGACGATCATTAATCCCATTATATCATATTGATATTTTAAAATAAATTTAATGGTATGCCATATTATTTGATCTGACATGATCCGAAGGAAGTAAGTGACCTGTCACGCGCCGTTGATCTGCCGCACGTTCACTGGAAGTATGGAAGAGGAAGGGGGTGTACCTGCAAGACACTCTGATGGCAAAATAAGTAATGAACCAGAGTGAGAGCAAATACAGAAGAGAGATGACTCTCTTGCGAAAGAGGGTATTTATAGAGAGACCCCAGCGCATGGCCAACGGTCACTTGTATTTGGCTGGATTGTTAGGCCCAACCCAGGTGACTGTTAGGGCTTGCGTGGCGTAGTGAAGACCAGCAAGTGGTCTTCGCCCTAGTTCAACTGTCCCGTGATCTCTAGAAGGTGGGTTGATCAACTATTGCAGAGGTGGGTGGTTGGATGAGGACGTGTCACAGCGGAGGGGAGCACGTGGAGAACGTGGAGGACACGTTATTCTGCCCGACGGGGAGGAAACTCTTGCCCGACGGTTGAGGTGCTCCGCTTGGAGAGGGCAGTCTCTAGTCGACAGAGGTCTTGTCCTCGACACAGTCCTGTTGGGCTGGTTGGGGCCTTCCCCATATACAATTGGGTTGGGCTTCTCTGGACAAACCGGGGTCCAGAGAAGCCCAACCCAATTTTTTATTAATTTTTTATTAAATAACAATGTAAAACTATTTTATATTATCATTAAATTCTTAAAAAAATAGTTTAATAATTTTGATAAATAAATTTTCATTTTTAAAAATTAAATAATAAATTATCTCAAATTCAAATTTTCGCATCGAACTGTTTAATAATTTTAAATTTTAAGACAAAGAAAATATATATTTATATTTGTTAAAAGAAAGTATTTATTTATTATAAAGAAAATATATATTTTTAAATAATTAAATAGTACTCTCTTTTTTTTATTATAAGTAGTTTTTTATTTTTCACACATATTAAAAAATATAATAATTATAATATGAAAAAGAAAAATTATAAAAAATTATAAAAAATAATTTTTTATTAATAATATTGAAAAGATAAATATATTTATTTAAAAGGAGATAAAATAATAAATATTTAAGAGTATACTAAGAAAAAGTGACTTATAATAAAAAATATTTAAGAGTATAATAAGAGAAAGTGACTTATAATAAAAAATTAAAGTAGTATATCTTTGTTATGTGTGTTAAAATAATGCGTCAAATGAATTTACAATAGTTACTCTATGTTTTCTGAAAATAAAAAATATATATATATAAAAATAAAAAAGTTTAACTGTTATAAACTAAAAATACAAAAATATTTAAAATATCATTCAATAATAATATATTACTCTATCATTTCAAATAATTAATTTTAGATTTTTAATAATCTTAACTGAATGCATAGTTGTTGGCCGATAGTGTAAAAGAAAATTTACACCATGCATCTCACTTTTTCAAAATAAAATAAAAAACTCAATATTGATTTAGTGCATAGCAATTCTTCATTTTCCTATAATAACAGGTTACGATACAGCGCATGACTTCCACAAAAGTCCCCTTTTGCACGTCCTTGCTCTATAAAATAAAGTTCAAAAGCCAAAGCTAATTCATTTTCTCTACACAAAAAATTATAAATTACAAAAATATTTAAATACTACTATGTTAGCAAGAGTTTTTTTTTTTTAATAAAATAAAATAACTCTCTTTTCTAAATAAAATTTCAATCTAGTTTAAATTCCCAAAAAAATCTCTATCCTATTTTAAATCATTAAAAGGCAATTTGTTAAGTTTATTATATTTTAAGTCAGTTAATTATTTTATTTTTAAATGTAAGATTTTTTTTCAACAAAATGAAATTATCAAAATCATGTTTTCAAGCTTTCAAATTTTAAGGACTTCTAATCTTAAAGAAAAGTTTATTTTCTGATTTGGTTGCAACAAGGCAGGACACTTGATAAATGAATGTTGAATGTTTCAGAAGAAGAAACTTAAAGGTGGAAACTTCAAATGAAGCAATAAGAAGGATCTCATGGCAACATGTATGAGTTTGTGTTGTTCTGAAATTGTGTATCCTGTTTGTGATCCAGAAACGGCTACAACCACATGATTATTGCTTTATTAGGCTGAATAGCAAAATAGTGCTTGCAAGTCATTTTTATGCATTATGTGCGCATGAACTTGAAGTGTCTGGAGATTTTAATTGTTACTAATTCTTGCCGTCATCATGAGTCATGACTTTTGATATATTAAGATTCATATACTAAGTTGCATGCTAATGTAACTTGAATTGAGTTATGGAATTGTTAGAATTGAGTTATGCTAATGTGACTCATATTTATTGTGTTAGAATTGAATTGAGTTATGCTAATGATATGCTAATGTAACTTGAATTGAGTTATGCTAATGTCAATGGTATGCTAGTGTAACTTGAATTGAGTTATGCTAATTGACTCATATTAGAATTGAGTTGTGCTAATGTTAGAATTAAGTTATACGAATGTGACTCATATTAGAAATGAGTTATGCTAATGTTAGAATTTGAGTTATGCTAATGCTAATGGTATGCTATTGTAATTTGACTTGAATTATGCTAATGTGACTCATATTAGAATTGATTTATGCTAATTGACTTATATTAATGCTAATGGTATGCTATTGTAACTTAAATTGAGTTATGCGAATGTTAATGGTATGCTACTGCAACTTGAATTGAGTTATGCTAATGTGACTCGTATTAGAATTGAGTTATGCTAATGTTAGAATTGAGTTATGCTAAGTGAGTTATGATAATGCTAATGGTATGCTACTGTAACTTGAATTGAGTTATGCTAATGGTATGCTATTGTAACTTGAATTGAGTTATATTAATGTTACTCATATTTAGCGTGTTAGAATTGTAACAGTCTGAATTGAGTTTTGAAATTGTTACTTAGAGTTGTTATTTTTAGTAAATTGTAACAGGTCTGAATTTTACTTTAATGATTTTCTATTATGCTAATGCGTTAGTGATTTTCTTTAGTGATTTTCTATTAGGTTCATTTATGTGTCGACTCCTCATAATAGTAAAATCCTGGTTGATACCTTGCTTGAATGTTTGATGAATTGAAGTTTAGATTGAAAGTTGTCTATATTGACTCTTGATAATTGCTCTACTAATGATGCTATGATTGAACATATTTTGAACAAGATTTCACATGGGTCACTCATATTGGGAGGTCAATTATTTCACATGCGTTGTTGTGCATACATTATGAATTTAATTGTGAAAAATGGTATGTCCCCGTTGAGAATATTAGAGATAGTGTTGGATATTGGACAACAACACCAAAAAGAGAGGAGAAGTTTATAGAGAAATGTGGTCAAGTGAACATTTCTTATAATAGAAAACTTATTCAAGATTGTAAAACTAGGTGGAACTCTACATTCTTAATGCTTAATATTGCCATACAATATAAGGATGTGTTTGATTGATTGACATCACGAGAAACTCAATATAAAACCTTGCCTAGGAAAATTGAATGGATGAAGGAAAAAAAAATTGTGAAATGTTGGAAGTTTTTTATGATGTTACAAACTTATTTTCTGGTACCGAGTATCCAACTGCAAATGTTTATTTTCTCAAAGTATGTGAAATGAAATTGGTTTTGGTTAAATGATTTGGCTCTACTTATAATGCCATTAAACAAATTGCTTCAAGTATGCTTTATAAGTTGGACAAGTATTTTAAGGTGGCTAATGGAGTGATGGTAGTTGGCACTGTGTTAGATCCAAGGTACAAAGTTGATTTGTTAGATTACTTTTTCCTTTAATTTATGGATGTTGTGAATCGGATACCTTGAGACAAAATATAAACAGTTCCTTCTTGATCAAGAAACACACAAGGGCTAGGGTTAACAAAGAAAACAAGGTAAAACAACAAGGAACAACAAGGATTGGTTATTAAACGGCTATTCTTTCCTTTCTCTTAGAACAAGATTACAAGTATACAAGAATAACAAAATAACCTCTCTCTCTTGAAATTAGGATTTTATCTTTCTATTTTTCCTTATGCCAAGATTGAGAAACTAACATCCTATTTATAAGAAAAATAATACACTAACCTAATGGGCTTTTTAACAATTACCCATTACAAGCGAACTTAGGGTACAAGCTAACTTAAACAATTGGGCTTACAAGTAAGGCCCAATTCAACATGCTAACAACCCAGCAATATTGACTAATGCATGTTAGAACAAACTTCGACTACAACATGCATTAGTTGCGAGAAGACTTCGGTCATACTAGAGTTCGATCCAACATCTCACAAATCTCCACCTTGGATCTAACTCTATAACATCAAGAAACTAGCT